CATATGCTGTACATATTCGCCAATTCGAATACATACGTGCTGGTTGCCACTCTTCGCTGAATTCTGGATTTCTAGTTTGTCGGGCTATACCGATATAGGTACGAAACTCATTTCCCACAACACGGTTCTTGAAATTGTGGTTGGGGCGTATGAACCTTTGTAGCAAATCTGTTTATCGAGCAGTAAGTTTAAAGGCCTCTACAATTATAGTACTGTCATGTATTAGGAAATGCTATGGCACAAAGTAACTTGAGTATATCTCGGGCGGTTTTAAGAACAGGTTGGGGCCACAAACGGACACACACATGTAACCGGTTATGGGCCGATGTAGGGCAAAAAAAAGGATTGAGTATGTGGATGGGTTTCTGATATTGCTAGCTGCGTGGATAAAAGTTCTAACTAATCCTGTCAGCTGGGTTAGCCCGGATAAATTCGTAGTTCAAAGCCTGCAGGTACAAGCGACCAGAGGATCACGCGAGGCGGCCCGTCATATCGCACGTTCGGATGATAAGGTAATCTTACAATTGTGCAGTGACCACCCAGTAAAGAGGGTTGAGACCTTGCAAAACAAATTGCGTCGGGGATGCCTCGTCACACACATTTTGTGAGTCCATGTTAACCTTCACATGAGACAGCATCTCTTACTCTGCTGTATTGGATGTCTTAAATTTATAAACTAACTCCCTGTAAGAATTGATGCAACCGGGTAAAGATTAATCCAGCGACGCAGGTTTTCAACATGAGTTAATTTCTCTCAAATGTTCCGTGAATGCCGTTGAATTTAATGATGGTGTGAATGGTTGGCCGACAATTCTTATCAGAAATTTGCTAAAATGGCCATTGGTGTGTTTTGGCGTTGTGAAAATTTTGGGGATAATTGGTAGCATATGAAATAGGGTAAGCTGGACGCGCTTTCAGGGTTGACTGACGTGCACTTACCGTTGTGGTTAGAGCAGTTAATGGAGGAGAAAGTAGATTCAAACACACGGAGACCTTGCAAAGAAATTGCGTCGGGGATGCCTCGTCACACACATTTTGTGAGTCCATGTTAACCTTCACATGAGACAGCATCTCTTACTCTGCTGTATTGGATGTCTTAAATTTATAAACTAACTCCCTGTAAGAATTGATGCAACCGGGTAAAGATTAATCCAGCGACGCAGGTTTTCAACATGAGTTAATTTCTCTCAAATGTTCCGTGAATGCCGTTGAATTTAATGATGGTGTGAATGGTTGGCCGACAATTCTTATCAGAAATTTGCTAAAATGGCCATTGGTGTGTTTTGGCGTTGTGAAAATTTTGGGGATAATTGGTAGCATATGAAATAGGGTAAGCTGGACGCGCTTTCAGGGTTGACTGACGTGCACTTACCGTTGTGGTTAGAGCAGTTAATGGAGGAGAAAGTAGATTCAAACACACGGCAGTATGTAGCGTGTGAAGCACAGCACGGAGTTAAGAGGATTTTGAAAGGATAAGACGCATTCGAACGAAAAGTTCTCAATCGTGCAGCCTTAAGCATCGTCGCAGCCAGGGTTTGTAAAAGTGGAGAACGTTGTGCAAAGGTTTTGTGCATGTTTAAGATGTGTATCGGGCAGGAAAGCTGACCAGGTGAGGCAAATGTAAATGGGCAATTAAAGTGCACTGGGTGACTGAGTGACGAAATTCGAGGTCTGTCCACTGTTTGGAGGACAAAGACGGAATCGGTAGCATTGTGGTCGCGTACGGCTGTTGGATATTTGTTCCTGTGACAGTGAGACCTTACAGTCTCCATTTGGCTCACACTGTGCGTGGCTGTCTTATTTTCCCATTAACTCTGGCATTCCGGACATGATTGTGGGACTGAAGATCGGTGAAAATAGGTTTGCATGGACGATGAGTTAGATGAGGCTCAAACACATATTACAGACATGGAAAATGGCCTCAGAGCAGACTGAAGTAGCCGGTGACTTTCGGCGAGTTAGTCGTTTCTCAGCCAAAACCGTATGCTGAATATCTAAAAAGGGCCAGGTTACAAACGCATGAACCGTAGGCAAAAGGCGGTATCCAGGAACGGAGCCCCGAGTTGGTGAGTCCCGCTGCGGTTGAGTATGCGATGTTCACAGGTTGTTGCGGATAAAAAAGCTGTCGTTTCTGATCAGTTACAGGGCATACGTGACTGGAAGCAGCAGCGTAGTGATAATAGGATTAAGTGCTCTAAATGAGCGGATTTGACCGAAAGCGCCCACTCACTCATTTGATCGTCGTCACGGGTACACGCGTGGGTGCACTTTTGAAGACCCATGAAACCCATGAATTCTGGGCAGAAGGTCTATTTAACTCTCCGTTACAAACTCCTTGTTCAAGCACCTTTTCATCGCTAACGTTTCTACGTCCAATAATTAGTATCATCACTGAATCTTGGCGTGAAAAAATCGATGTGACTAAGTGAGCAATCAGTGAGTTTATCTTTATGGCGGTTGGACATTTGAACTATTTTACCCCAGGCACCTTTGATCATACATTTCTCCTTTAAGAAACGCTGGTGAGTCAAAATGGCTTCTGAAAAACGAGAACCGGAGTGACTCCACATTAAGTTTTTAAAGACGCAACCAACTATTAAAAGCACAATTAGATGGAGGTGGTAGACCAACATGCGTGAGGATGAAGGACCAGCGTTCGCTGTTGTATTAGGCCATCGTGTATAGTCGAGGTCATATAACCAGAATAGGGCATAAGTGCGAACCTAACATTTGTGATAAGTGGCCGAGATAATCGGTCAAGCATAAAGTCGTGTTAGTGAAGGAAAATCGTTGACCAGTAGATAGGCCTGAAGCGCATAAATGAGGCCTCGTAATCAACGTCACACATGGAAACGAGCCTAGCAGTTCCGATAAGAAGCTGAGCTAGGGGATGGCGCGTACAGTTATCATAATGACGGCAGTGGTTGGAATCATGGCATACCTCAGCAAAGGAGCGTGATAATTCCCAGGGAGAAAGATAACATTGTCTTTCTGACTGATATTTATAGGATTATTTCCAAACTTGTAGCGACGTACCAATCGAGGCATGATTGGGTCGTTACAACCTGAACGCGGCGGGCAACAACACAACGAGGAAGAGAGTATGATTGGCCGGGCATGCTTGTTGCGTGAAGAGTCACCGTGGTTGTCGAAACCCAGAAACTAGAACGATGAGTATGAGAAGCAACTAGTTCAATGAGGGAGCCTTTTGACTCAAACTAAAACTAAAAAATCGTCACCTTGGCTAGTAGGATGAATGACCAGTGTCACAAGAAGCAAAAATGAAGATGATGGAAGAGTTTCAGGCGGAAACAAGTGGCAAGCTTCGTCTTAAAAATATGGGTTATGTTTAAATTGGGTAGACCCACTGGTGCCGCTGTTGTAAAGATGTCAGTTCAAAAGAATATTTCGATGTGGAGTTAGTGCTAACGCACAGGGCCGAACGAGCAAAGGAGATGAAATCCTTGAACTAGTGGAAGGGCTAACTGAAACTGAAGCGGAAAGAAAGAGGTGACCTATTAAGTCCGAACGAAGGCCCACGTGGTCTAGAACGAACTTTTTCCGGAAATAGTTGGAGCTGAGTAGAAAATTTGTTCGTTGTTGCAATTATGGGCTCGGGTGCGCGAGATGCGAAGATCGAGCGCAGGAAGAAACTAGATGCAGGAGTGCCCTCAGGCTGCGAATGGAAGTGCCATGCCATCATTCGACCAGCATGCTTCAGTTTCTTGACAGCCCCATAACGGATGTCATGGTTGCGGACATCTCATAACGCTGCATCATCTACCGACTGTCTGTGCATATCTGCGAATGGCGACCATCCGCAAAATCACATTCCAGCATAGCTGCATGGCGCATCAACTCATATTCCATTATTGTGCTGAATGAAAGGTGAGCCTCTTGAAAACTGTTGTCGTTAAGTTCAGTGATCCATTTGTTACGTTTGAGGAATATGGGGCGTACAAGCGTTATTCACTTGCTTCTCTGGGTGGAATTTACATGATACAATCTGTAGGTGTTATCTCACCTTAAAATAACACCTCTGAAGGACATAATATGCTACGGTTTGCTTTTGATGCCTTACTTCGTTAAGTGCCAAGACGATGCTAGTCGGTGATGGTCGTTGACCTTGAAATCACCCCCGCTCGAACGGAATTAAACTAGATCGCGATAGTCTTTGGCTTGGGCTTATATGCAACAGAATGCAGCAGTTTTGTTTGAATTCCATTTCTGCGTGAGCTTGTACTAATGTTGACTTCCGTATTGTGGGCGAAATCGAACCTGGTCTTCGGTAGCTTAGTTGACAGCAGAGTGTACCCTTTAGGACGTGTTCATCACACCACTTATTGTATATATTACTTTCTCTGTCCCTATTGCAGGCACCCACGATGGGTCACCACAGTTCCCAGATAGAAAGCTGTAGTCCGATTTTACATCGCGCTGAGTGGCCATGATCCATTTTTCTACCCTTCTTGGTCTTTGCCTGTTGATTCGGTATCAGTACGCGCAGGTTATTAATCACTCCGGTCTTCCCTTCTGCGTCAAATAAATTTTGAAACTTTGTGATTTGTGTTCCGTACGACTCCAGTAATACCGATTTCCACATTTGCTCATTTTATAACCGGCATCGGCTATCACCGCATCCCCTGAACATCCAGTACCACAGAATTCATGAAATTTCACGCTACACCTCCAAAAAGCCCCTACGAGCAACCGGTTCGCTTTTCGTCAAAAGGCTAGGTGATAATGCGCACCTTGTAGAAGCTTGGGATTGGGGTAACTGATGATGATTGCGTGCGTTGTTTTAAACACATCCGTCTTTCAGTTCAGGCGGGAGCGGTTCCTTGAATACAGTCCACGCTAATGGTAAGACCCATCTGGTGTATTCCATGTATTTTCTAGGCACCAACGTCCGTTAAAGATATCAACGGCCACGTTTTCGTGAAAGAGCTGGCACAGTTCCTCAAGAAGTACGTAACTGTTTTAATTTTTTATGTCTCTAGATCCGGCAAGATTAAGCAGCCCGATTGCGCGGATCTTGTCAAGCTCTCAACGGCGAATGAATTGGCTCCCTACGATCCGGATTGGTTTTACATTAGGTGTGCTGCTATCCTACGCCACCTGTACCTCCGGCCGACTGGTATGTTGGGATTGAGACGGATTTTCTCGCGGAAACAAAGGAATGGCGTGAGACCATCCCACCGCGCGCTCGCACACAGCTCAGTAATTCGTAAAGCCTTACAGCAGTTGGAGTCCATGGGGATGTGTGTTAAGGTTGAGACCGGGTGAGTGACTATTCTGATGTGTCTTGTATATTAAAATCCGCTGCGAGAACCATAACCATGCAATTCATCGTTACTGCGTCGTCGAGCGGATGAACGATATATCGCCGTGAGGCTTGTCTTCTGAGACAGATGTTGTCTAACCACCTGACACGAGAACTCAATATCCCACCTTGGTCAGATCTTTGTATTCCTCCTATTCACGCTCTACTTAGGAAAAAGCGTTCAACTGTAACAGGCCTTCGGTGCCTAACTGCCATGCCGCCTGGAGGAAGCACGAGAGCTAGGGTACAACCAGGTTGCCCAAGCTTAGACAGGGGAGGGGGGCAGAGGCCGGGTTCGAATCACGGATCATCCCGTCAGTATCTTCGCGCTCTAACCACTTGAGTCATCTCGCACCCCAACTCAGAAATGAGGAAAACTGGCACAATGCCCTGAATTCTAAGCAACAGGTTTTTCGACCGTATTTACAAGACGATAGTGCTTGCGACAACACTACCACACACGAACCTGAGCAGAACTAACTCTCGCTCACAATACTCTTCACACCTGGCAACCCAGAGGTCGCTGTGGTAGCGTGTACGAAGGTCGACCACAGGTCACACGCTGAGACCTTCGCTCGGTGGAAATGTGGTCGATAATCACCGCGTCTTCCATCTGACAAGGGCAGTGATCGTTGGTTTACCGTGCCTGCTTACACTCCAACCACGTGTAGCTGTAGAGCCATAAAAAACAACAATGGCTATTTGAGCGCCCTGTCGCAATGCGCTAAAAGCTGGTTGTTGGAGATCTCAAATGTAGTAGTAGGCACGGTTGGCGCATATGAGGCCTTATTGGACTGTTCACTTGGGTTCGACTCGGTGCGAACGTATAGTGGCGGATGGCTGATTTGGCTATGTACTGACGCAGACCGTCCCGAGATAACCGAAGTCGTGGGGCTGCCTTGTCATTATCATCATTGTCAGCTTTAATGACCGCGTACTTGTCGTACAGTGATTGTAACTGCCACGGTTTCGTTCACCGATGATTCCGGGAGGTGGGGTAGGTAGCTGCTCATTGGAGGCGGGAGCTGATAAATTAGTGCGTAAATACAGTACTGTAGGTGGACGGTTAAGTGGGGGTTGGGAAGGGAGCTATGCAGTAAAGGCAATGGCTTGGATGCATGAGCACTATTGAGGGCGCGACTGGGCTATATCTGAATGTCTCTAATCATTGATATATCCCGTCTCGTGGACCCATCCATGAGGCAGGCAATGACCACAGCTGCTGGATTCGCTGGTAATGGCTTTTATCCTTCGCTACCAAGTCACTAACCGCCTCTGGCTCTCTTCCACTCTACATGTGGTTGTGCGAAAAGAGCCGTTCGAAGAAGTCGATCGACTGGTATACGCAGCACATGACCAAACCAGTGCAACCCATGCAATGTGATCAGTTCATCTATCGAGGATGAGTTATTTTTTTCCGAATACCATTCGACGTACTTCAGCAATGCTGGTCCAGTGTTCCCACCAGACGGGTCAAACACCGAAAGTCTTTTGACGTCGGCGCGCAGCGGCCAGGTTTATGATCCATATGGTAATATGGAGCGCACTGCAGCATTGCAAACCCAATCATTGACGGGTAAGCTGATGTCACTCCTGCGCCACAACCATGAATCGCACATACACAAATA